GTGCATATCCTCTGGAAAACTAAAATAATGTGCCTATTTATTTATTTCAGGTATTTCTATCCCGTTCCTTCTCAACCCCGAAGAGGGACTCAGGATGGCTTACATTTGGCAGCAATTCGATGCCACTATAGCAATATAATAACATTTAAAACAATAAGTAAAACATTCATTAAAACAGTAAAAAAATAGTATTAATAGCTGTAACATCATTCCAGTCAATTCCATATCCAAAATGTCTGTTGTCCAAAAGCCTGGTCCCAGAACCACGACTTCAATTTCTTCCTAAATGACAGGAGGGAAGGAGCCGATCTTACCTCAGTGGGAAGCAAGTTCCACAGACGGGGGGCCACAGCCAAGAAGGCCCTGTCTCTCATCCCCGCCAGACATATTTGTGACGCTGGCAGAAGCGAGAGCAGGCCCTCCCTGGATGATCTTAAACTGTGAGGCAGGATGTAGAGGGAGATGTGTTCGGACAAGTAAGCTGGGCCAGAACTGTGTAGGACTTTATAGGTCAAAACCAGCACTTTGAATTGAGCTCAGAGGTGGACCAGCAGCCAGTGGAGCTGAGACAACAAGGGGGTTGTATGCACCCTGTATGTTGGTCCAGTTAGCCATCTGGCTGCCACCTGTTGGACTAGTTGTAATTTCCAAACAGTCTTCAAAGGCAGCCCCACGTAGAGTGCATTGCAGTAATCTATTTGGGATGTAACAAGAGCATGGACCACCATAGCTAGATCAGACTTCCCAAGGTACGGGCGCAGCTGGTGCACAAGCTTTAACTATGCAAAAGCTCCCCTGGCCACTGCCAAAACCTGTGGTTCCAGGCTCAGCAGGAAATCCCACAATATCTGCTTTGAACTGGGTTATCTGAGTACACACTGCCATATATTCCAATTCAATGCAGATAATCTGGGTTTTATTCAGCTGTGTGGAAGAGGCCCTATAGACATAAAGTAAACAGGCTGATCATACTGTTGGGATGGGCAGGGGAGAACTACACCAACTCTCAGCTCCTTGTAACCATGGCATTGAGGATCGGCATTGTTTTTTCTTGGCTTCTCTTTCATCATCCCATTTAAAGGTGACAGTGATGAAACAGTCAGGCAGAAGGGTGGGCGTATTGCCTATTTATCTATCCATAATGATCTTAAGGACTTAATACCTATGATGGTGTGTTAATCAAGAACTTAGACCCTTCCGCACAGCCATATAACCCAGAATATCAAGGCAGATAATCCCCAATATCTGCTTTCAACTGGGTTATCTGAGTCCACACTGCCATGTAATCCAGTAAACGTGGATTTTATACAGCTGTGTGGAAGGGGGCTGGGTTTTCTAACAGAAAAAACTTCTTATTACCATGAAATAAACTATATTTTGAATATGACTATTGCGACCTTTTTATTTGTTTGTAGTGTGGTTATCTGGATAGATGTGTTATTTTGGTGTATTTCCTACATGAGAGAAAAATGAGTCCTGAAAGTACAACTGGGCTGGGATTGCATTGCTAGATAACAGTTTAAGAAAGGAGGAAACAAGAAGGAGAAAGAAATGTGGCAGCACATTGAAGACAAACTGTTTTTATTAATTTTAGCACTAATTTATGCACTCAGCATTATCCGGATATGCATTTTCAAATGGTATTTATTAGAAATCCTCATTCTTAACTTTGCAATATTATGATTTGTCTCATTAGAAATTGGATATCTTATATAAAGCCTCATCCTCCCCCCCCCCCCGCCCCCCAAAAAATCCTGCCATCATTTTAAATTGGATCAGTAAGCGTATGTACACCAAGTTTGGTCCACATCCATTGTGACTGGGATTCATGGGACTGAGCGACAACTCTCATTGATATCGGAGGCTCTTTCCATGGGCCCACATGGCAAGGTCCCTGTAATCTACACTTTATGGACTTTTCTATGAACTTTTAGAAATCTTTAGTCAACTTTTCATGGACTTTACTATAGTTTCTTCCATTATGTCAGCCCTGCTGGCCAAAACCAGTTCTAAAGTTCATCAACGCACCTCATATCTCCGGATGATAAAACAAAGCACCTGGCCATTTAGGCCAGACTACAGATGATGATTCCAAGGAACTTAAACAATAAACCCTGGCCAGCTTGAGGTCTTACACACTCACTGAGCCATTTTGCAAACATTAGTCATTTAAAACCAGTCAACTGGACATTTCTTCATTGTTTTCCTGTTGCCCACCTCCCTTCCACCAGATTTTGTTCATTTTCATGGTTTCCTCCTTTCTGTTGAAATTGTCCACATGCTTGTGGATTTCAATGGCTTCTCTGTGTAGTCTGACATGGTGGTTGTGAGAGTGGTCCAGCATTTCTGTGTTCTCAAATAATATGCTGTGTCCAGGTTGGTTCATCAGGTGCTCTGCTATGGCTGACTTCTCTGGTTGAAGTAGTCTGCAGTGCCTTTCATGTTCCTTGATTCGTGTTCGGGCAATGCTGCATTTGGTGGTCCCTATGTAGACTTGTCCACAGCTGCATGGTATACGGTAGACTCCTGCAGAAGTGAGAGGATCCCTCTTGTCTTTTGCTGAACGTAGCATTTGTTGGATTTTCTTGGTGGGTCTGTAGATAGTTTGTATGTTGTGTTTCTCATCAGCTTCCCTATGCCGTCAGTGGTTCCCTTGATGTATGGCAGGAACACTTTTCCTCTGGGTGGATCTTCATCTTTACTCTCATGGCTTGTTCTTGGTCTTGCAGCTCTTCTGATGTCTGAGGTGGAGTATCCATTGGCCTGGAGAGCCCAGTTGAGGTGGTTCATTTCATCTTGGAGGAGGTGGGGTTCGCAGATTCTTTTTGCACGGTCTGCCAAGGCTTTAATGGTGCTTCTTTTTTGACTTGGGTGATGGTTGGAGTTTTTATGTAGATATCTATCTTGTGTGTGGGTTTTCTGTAAACAGTGTGACCCAATTGTTGATCTGGTTTGCGGATGACTAGGACATCTAGAAAAGGCAGTCCTTATGGTGAACCTATAACACTCGTGTCAGCACTGACACGCATGGCTATTTTTGATGACATGCAGGCACACGCGGCCGCATACAGAGAAGTACACCTTATAAGAGCCAATCTAATTCCATCCTTAAATTAGTAAAAGGCTCTACAAGTTTAACATCTGCACATTTGAGCATTGTTCACTCCATAACTCAGCATGGATTATACATTTTTCTTATTTAAACTGTAAATATTGCAAAATTATGGGTTTTTTTCTCAAAGTGACACCCCACCCAAGTTATGCTCAGGTTTTGGCAAATTTTGACACACCAAGCTCAAAGGGTTGCCCATCACTGCTCTAGAACATGGCCATATAGCCCGAAAAAAAACCTACAACAACCCAATATGGACCCTTTCAGACAGGTCATATATCCCAGGAGCCGATCCCAGGTTTTCTGTTTTAAACCGGATTATATGAGTCCGCACTGCCAGATAATCAGGTATAAACTGCCACCCTGGGATCAGATCCTCAGATATAGGTCCTGTCTGGAAGGGCCCTTAGACATGGAGCGAAGGATTCGAACTGGAGAGGGGTGGGGAATCCACCTAAACGTGAGGAATCATCTCCTAATGATAGGATCTCTTGAAGGGAACTGTCCCTGGGGGGCGCTTGCTGAATGCCCATCGGAAAGGCGTGGATGGGAGCAGGGGCGGCTCGTCCATTACGCGAAGTAAGCAGTCGCAGAACACTTTTTTTTGCCAGGGGCGCAGAGGCGCCTCTGTAAATGCCCCTCAACCACCACTTGAGGAGCGCCCCCTCAGCTCACAACAGCCCTAGCAGTCCGGGGGGAGCCTCGGCTTTCTTGCCTCACTGCCAGGCGATCCTCTTCCCAGAAAGGGCCAGGCCCTTGAGCCTCGCCTAGCCCCTCTCGTTCCTGCTCCACAAGGGTGCGCAAGCAGAGCTGGTGCTCAATCATTCTCTGCATTCGATCTCTTCCCCATGACCAGCTCCCTTTCCCGATCCCCCGGTGCTCCACCCGCCTCCTCTCCTCTCCCCAATCCATGGGTGGGCCAAGGGGCGGAGCCGCCGCGCCTGGCCCGCTTTGGGTCCGGAGGCGTGCCTGAAAGCATGCGCACCAAAAGTCGCCTCTTCTCCTGACTTTCTCTTCAGCCATTGGGACCAAGAGAGAGAGAGAGCCCCTCCGGCTGGAGGTATCTCCCACCTCCGCTCCCTCCTTTGTTTTTGCGCCTACCTTCAGGAAAGGTGGGCATCTCCACCTCTGTCTCTCTCTCTCTCTCTTGGTCCCAATGGCTGAGGAGAAAGTCAGGAGAAGAGGTGACTTTTGGTGCACACGCCGGGGTCTTCAGGCACTCCTCCGGACCCAAAGCGGGCCAGGCAAGGGAGCAAGTGCGGCAAGTGTAGTTACTGGGATGTATAGTTCACCTACAATCAAAGAGCATTCTGAACTCCACCAATGATGGAATTGAACCAAATATGGCACACAGAACTCCCACGATGAACAGAAAATATATATCAATGATTGGTTGGGGCGGTGGGCGCCAAAATACTGTTTGCTTACAGTTGAAAATTACCTAGGGCCGCCTCTGGATCTAGGTCCTGTCTGGAAGGGCCCTTAGACATGGAGCAAAGGATTCAAACTGGAGAGGGGTGGGGAATCCACCTAAACGTGAGGAATCACCTCCTAGTGATAGGATCTCTAGGGAACTGTCCCTGGGGGGCGCTTGCTGCATGCCCATCGCAAAGGCGTGGATGGGAAAGAGGGAGGGAGGGAAGGGCGTGTGTGCTTAGCGACAGAGGCATTTGTCCACCAGGCAAGCTGGCGAGGCTCCAGAAATCGAGCCGGGATCTGTCCCAAAGACACCCCTGGCGCCGCCTGCACTGCAGTCCCTCCCCCCTCCCTCCCTCCCTCCCGGGAGTGGGGCGAGGCTGCGCGCGGACCGCGGCAAAGAAGAGTGCTAAGGGGAGGGGGGCGAGCGTGGCGCGCGCTCTGTCACTCTCTCCGCTCCCGCAGCAACAAGCCCCGCCCCCGGAGCCTGAGAGCGCCAATCGCAGCCGCGCCTGGCGGAGAAGCTGCCCCCCTCTCGCCCCCTCCGCTCTCCTCTCCCTCCCCATCCCTCCGCCTCTCCTCCTCCTCCTCCTCCTCCGCCTGCTGCTGGCTGGACTCTGGGGCTGAGCCGCGTGACAGGTGCCCGGGGGATGCCTCCCCCCGCCTGGCCGACATGAGCACCGAGGCAGGTAGGAGAGCGGGAGGCACGTTGTCATGCGGATCTGCTGTTTTATTTGGGGTGGGGGGGGGAGATCTGGTGCTGTGGTCGCCCCTTCCCTGCAGAGGATGCTGCGCCGCCACCCCGTCTCCTGCTTGTCTCGAGCATCCTTCCGGCTCTGCCTCCCCGGGATGGCTTGAGAGGAACGGGAGGGGGGGGGGGAAGAAAAGCTCCGGGACTGCGGCAGCGATGTGGGTCAGCCTCGGGATCAGGAACCTCTGAGCCTTGGCTGTGCGCCCATGCCCTTGCTCAACCACGTCATTGTCTCCGCTTCCAAAAGGCCTTTTGGGGTGGAAGAACCCCATATACAGGCAGTCCTCGAGTTACAAACAAACAGCTCCTAGTTAAGAACGGGGGTGAGGCAACAGGAAGTGAGAGAAGTCTCCCAATTGGAAGGGAGAGGCCCCTTTTACACAGCTGTATACAATCCACATTGAACTGGATTCAGTGTCAGTGTGGATTCAGGGCCTTTCCACACAGCCCTATATACCAGAATATCAAGGCAGAAAATCCCACATTATCTGAGTGTGGACATTTGCACGCCGGAGTGGTACCTATTGATCTACTCACATTTGCACGCCAGAGTGGTACCTATTGATCTACTCACATTTGCATGTTTTCAAACTGCTAGGTTGGCAGAAACTAGGGCTGACAGCAGAAGCTGAACAGCAGAAGCTGACAGCAGAAGCTGAACAGATAACCCAGTTCAAAGAGATATTGTGGGATTTTCTGCCTTGATATTCTGGATAAAGGGCTGTGTAGAAAGGTTCCCAAGGAGCCCCTTCCCCGGTAACGCAGTGGGCTAAAGCACTGAGCTTCTGAGCTGGTTGTTCAAATCCGGGGAGCGGCATCAGCTTCTGCTGTCAGCCCTAGTTTCTGCCAACCTAGCAGTTCGAAAACATGCAAATGTGAGTAGATCAATAGGTACCACTCTGGCGTGCAAATGTGAGTAGATCAATAGGTACCACTCTGGCATGCAAATGTGAGTAGATCAATAGGTTCCACTCCGCCATGCAAATGTGAGTAGATCAATAGGTACCACTCTGGTGTGCAAATGTGAGTAGATCAATAGGTACCACTCCGGCATGCAAATGTGAGTAGATCAATAGGTACCACTCCGGCATGCAAATGTGAGTAGATCAATAGGTACCACTCTGGCATGCAAATGTGAGTAGATCAGTAGGTACCACTCCGGCATGCAAATGTGAGTAGATCAATAGGTACCTCTCTGGCATGCAAATGTGAGTAGATCAATAGGTACCACTCTGGCGTGCAAATGTGAGTAGATCAGTAGGTACCACTCCGGCATGCAAATGCGAGTAGATCAGTAGGTACCACTCTGGCATGCAAATGCGAGTAGATCAATAGGTACCGATCCGGCATGCAAATGTGAGTAGATCAATAGGTACCACTCTGGCGTGCAAATGCGAGTAGATCAATAGGTACCACTCCGGCATGCAAATGCGAGTAGATCAATAGGTACCGCTCCGGCATGCAAATGTGAGCAGATCAATAGGTACCACTCTGGCATGCAAATGTGAGTAGATCAATAGGTGCTGCTCTGGCGTGCAAATGTGAATAGATCAATAGGTACCGCTTCGGCAGGAAGGTAACGATGCTCCATGCAGTCATGCTGGCCACATGATCATGTGGGTGACTATGGACAACGCTGGCTCTTCAGCTTAGAAATGGAGATGAGCACCACACCCCAGAGTCGGACACAACTGGACTTAATGTCAGGGGAAAACCTTTACCTTTACCCTAAAAGGGCCCCCAGGCCCCTTCCACACATCTGAATATAATCCCACATGATCTGCTTTGAGCTGGAATATATGGCAGTGTGGACTCAGATAACCCAGAGTTGGGGCTCTTCCACACAGTCATATATCCCAGAATATCAAGGCTGGTCATCCACAATATCTGCTTTGAACTTTGTCATCTGAGGGCCCTTCCACACAGCCGTATATCCCAGAATATCAAGGCAGAAAATCCCACATTATCTGAGTGTGGACTCAGTTCAAAGCAGATATTGTGGGATTTTTCTGCCTTGATATTCTGGGATATAGAGTTCTGTGGAAGGGCCCTAAAGTCCACATTGAGCTGGATTCTATGTCAGTGTGGACTCAGGGCCCTTCCACACAGCCCTATATCCCTCAATATATAAGGCAGAATATCCTACAATATCTGCTTTGAACTGAGTCCACACTTAGATAATGTGGGATTTTCTGCCTTGATATTCTGGGATATAGGGCTGTGTGGAAGGGCCCTCAGATGACCAAGTTCAAAGCAGATATTGTGGATGACCAGCCTTGATATTCTGGGATATATGACTGTGCGGAAGAGCCCCAATTCAGTCCTGGAAGATATATTACCATGGGGGAAAGGTGTCTCTACTGAAGCTTTGTTTCCAAAACAAGCTACATTTGTCCAAAGCCAATTCTCACTGGGACAGAAAGGGAGGGGGAATCTCCCAAACAGGGGCACAGACAACACAGCAAATGTCACAGGGCCCTTCCAGATGGGCTCTATATCCCAGGATCTTCTCCTAGGTTTTCTGTTTATCCTAGATTATGTGGCAGTGCCGACTCATATCATCCACTTTAAAGCAGAAAACCTGAGATCAGATCCTGGGATATAGTGCCAGTTTGGAAGGGCCCTATATTTACTGCATGCATATTCTATGAAAATCAGGTTTGGGAGGCCATTAGTCAATATTGGTCAATATCGGATTATCAATTACATTATTTTTATTCGTCCCATAGACTATCTTTCCAAAGCTAGGAGTCTCTATATTGGGGTGAGAAAGTGCACCCCGCAAGCTGCATGTAAGCTGTTTTGCAATCTCCAAGGCTACTTTCCCTTTTACGTTTGCCATAAAGTGCCTTCCATGTGCATGGGGAGGGGTAATTTGGGTATTCATCCTTCCCTATGCGATCCAAAGCTTATACACACACACATACATAAATATAAGCTGCTTTAAGTCCCCTTCGGGGTTGAGATAGAATGTGGTAAAATACAGTAAATATTTATTTATTTATAAATAAATAAATAAATAATAAAAATATACACATACACATTTGGATGAAGTTACACTTTCAAAAAGTATCTGTTCCAACTTACATTCAAATTCAACTTAAGAACAAACCTACCGAACCTATCTTGGGGACGGCCTGTATGTGGAATTTGGAACTGCATTTATGATGGGGCCCAAGTCATCTGCCAGATGTTCCCTCACTGCCTCTTTGCTCCTGAATCTATGTTGTCCTTTTTACTCCCAACGCCTCCACCACCCTTTTGTGGCAAGCGCACCAGGGTTTCCCCTGTTTTTGGATTCTTTCCCCCTCATTTTGAATCTGGTTAATCCTTTATGGATTAAACTAAGTACAGTCAGTTCACTTGGTGGAGGGAGGATCCACTCAACAGCCCGCAAACGCATTCCTTGCTATTTTGCTTACCTTTTTATTTTCTGGGGCCCCTTCCACACCGCTGTATAACATCCACATTGAATGGGATTATATGGCAGTGTGGACTCAGATAACCCAGTTTAAAGCAGATATTGTGGATGATCTGCCTCCATATTCTGAGTTATATGGCCCTGTGTGATTACCAGAGCCTTACCCCTGGAACTACTTTAAAAAGTGGGTTGCTGTGAGTGTTCTGGGATGTATGGCTATGTTCCGGAAGCATTCTCTCCTGATGTTTTACCCACATCTATGGCAGGCATTCTCAGAGGTTGTGAGGCTTGTTGGAGACTAGGCAAGTGAGATTTATACTTTAAAAAGCTTGAGATGATGCTGCCCAGATGTTAAGGGGAGGGAACAGGATAGTTCAGTGGGCACAATGCTGGATTTGGGTTTATGATCAGACATGGGCAAACTTTGGCCTTCCAGGTGTTTTGGACTTCAGCTTCCAGAAATCTCAGCCAGCTTACCAGCTGTTAGAAATTGTAATTGGCCCTACAAAACACCTGGAGGGCCAAAGTTTGTTCATGCCTGGTTTAGATCCCTGTTTCACCACTGGATACCTTGGGTCACTTCAGACTGCCTCACATGTCTGTCCCTCTGAGCACCGGATAGGACAGTTCAGCTAAAAAGCAGTGAACCCTTGGTATCCAGATCCACTCCCCCATGGATACCAAAATCTGAGGCTGCTCACGCCCCATTATATACACAGCATCATCATAAAATGGTATCCTTTATATAAAATGGCAACATCAAGATTTTCTTTTTGAATTTCTTTTTAAGCGGGAGAGAGAATGTTTTCTTGCCGTGGACAGTCAAATCCATGGATATGGAAGCCTGACTGTAATATAGCAGTCCCAGACTTATAAATATCTGACTTTCAAAAGACTCATAATTAAGAATAGGGGTGAGACAACAGGAAGTGTGATGAATTTACCCCTCGGAAGGGAAATCCACACCTGGAAGAGTTATTATCATGGGAGAAAGGGGTTTCCATAGAAGCTCTATCGCCAATCCTTGTTTCCACGACAAATGAAATTTTTCCAAATCCAATTATCACAGGGACTGAAAGTAAGGAGAAATCTTCTGAACAAGGACACAGACACAAAACAAAACCACAGGGGTGATAATACTTCCTTATGCTATCCAAAGGATTCGTGATAGAGCTATATTGGCTGGAGTTACACTTTAAAATGTCCCTGTTCCAACTTACATACAAATTCAACGTAAGAACAAACTTACATAATTCATCATGTTCATAACTTGGGGATTGCCTGTACAGTAGAAGCCTGGATTCATCCCTTTCTTCCTCTTCCTTCCTTGTCAATATCAGCTGTTTGCATTTAGATCTTGCAGACCCATCATTTAAAACAGGCAGCATTTCTCTTATTTATTAAATTTCAATGTATGTTTGGTTCAAAGTACTATAAATACACAAATAAAAAGAAATAACACATCAGTGTAGAATGGTAGCTTTGCGCTGTGTTGTACTGTAATTGGTGGGATGTAT